AAGAAGGGATAGGAGAAAATATAAATAATATTGGAGGAAGGCACAGTTGTTGTAATAGTTTAAAGTTCTGTTACTAACCAACTGTGTGTCCTCACATAAGTTATTTTTATTCTTTCTATCTCTTTCTTTCTTTCCTTCTTCCATTCTTTCTTTCCTTCCCTCCCTCCCTCCCTCCCTCCCTCCCTCCCTCCCTCCCTCCATCCTTTCCTTCCTTCCTCCCTCCCTTCCTTCCTTCCTTCCTTCTTTCCTTCCTTCCTTTCCTGCCCCCTCCCCTCCCCTCCTCTCCCATCCCCTCCCCTTCCCTTTCCTTCCCTACCCTCTCTTTCTTTCTTTTTTTTTTTTAATGAGACAGGGTCTCACTCTGTTGCCCAGGCTGGAGTGCAGTGGCACGATCTTGGCTCACTGCAACTTCTACCTCCCGGGCTCAAGCAATTCTCCTGCCTCAGCCTCCTAAGTAAATGGGATTACAGGCACTCACCAGCATGCCTGGCTAATTTTTGTATTTTTAGTAGAAACAGGGTTTCACCATGTTGGTCAGGCTGGTTTCAAACTCCTAACCTTGTTATCTGCCTGCCTCGGCCTCCCAAGGTGCTGGGATTACAGGCGTGAGCCACTGTGCCCAGCCAAGTTATTTTTATTCTATATTCCTTTATTTATCCATTTGTATATTAAGGAGTTTGACTAGACTCTCATAAGGCTTTGGTTCTCAACTCTGATGTGCAGTTAATATTACACTGGTTAAATGATTTTTTTCCAAGTTTCCATCCCTGAAGAACTTGATTCATTTGGTATGCGATGGGTTCTAGGAATTCCATAGGTGATTGGGATGCATGGGTAGGTTAAAGAAGTAGTGACCTAGCTCCTTCTAGCTTTGACATCTTAAACAATTCTAATTGTAGTACAAGCATGACTGTGAAAGTGCAGCAGAAGTCAGATAAATTAAGTGTTTTATTCATTCAGGGGCAGGGAATATAACCTCTTGCTTGCTGGCTATAGTTAGGGCTTAATGGAAATGATGATGTTGACAAAGACTTTGAAGAATAGTTGGAAATGTGGGCAGATGGATGATTGCATTGTTGGTGTTCAGTTCAACTTAGTTGAAGGCCAGAAGACATACGAGGGAATAGGGGGGAAAATGACCTGTTTTGGTGCCATGGACCATGGTTCTAGTCTTGTTTTTCTAATTTTACGTGTCACACTTGGTTGTCCTTTTGGAGATGATAGATTGTATTATTGCAGCTGTATCCTTATTCAGTGGAAGTGGAACATATGGTGACAGATACCATGGGACTGCTTTGGGAACTAATTGGGTATATTCTTCCTCAAGTCTTTTGTGGCTGTACTCTTTGAGATCCATTTTGACCACCCCATTGGTTTTCTGGTTAGAAACAAAGAATATCAGGACCCACTCTGCTATCTAAAATAGTAGTTTTGCTGTCACAATGATTATTATTAAACCAAAGTTGGCTTTTTTTGTTTAGATAAACCCATAAAAAAGCAACGTTCTGAGTAAATTATATAGCGTCCACTTGATGAAATAATAAGCCTAAGTTTAGGGAATGAAAGTAATGATCTAATGCAGTATTTAGAATGGGTATACAGTATGTAGTTATTAACCAAAAAGTCACATCCTGCATTCTTTTAATTTGTGCAAAATTTGTCATTAATTGCCCAGGAAACCTCTGATTTTTTTCATAATCACATCATAGCTATTGACTTTTTTCCCCTTCTCCTGCCTTAAAATACATCCCTATAAATAGTAGATTACATTCAGATTTGTAATACCCCCTTTAAACATTGATTTGCTAAGTTTAGCCATGTTGCTCTCTTTTTTAAAAAATAGATTTTTTCCCCCAACTTTGCCTTTGAGTTGTTACTGACAAATCACAATTTGTTGTTTTTTGTTTTTATTTTTTTTGAGACTCCGTTGGTGAGGCTAGAGTGCAGTGATCTCGGCTCACTGCAGCCTTGACCTCCCCAGGCTCAGGTGACCCTCCCACCTGTTTTGTTTGTTTGTTTGTTTCATATTTTTAGTAGAGATTGGGTTTTGCTATGTTGCCCAGGTGGGTCTTGAACTCCTGGGCTCAAGTGAGCTACCTGTCTCAGTCTCCCAAAGTGCTAGGATTACAGACACGAGCTGCCATGCCTGGCCCACACTTTGTTTTTTCATGTCAGTTGGCTTAAAATTTTGTTTAGTCCTTCTGCCCAGTATGAGCTTGCTAATTCTGAAATCCTTTTTGATTTCATTAACTACCACTGTATGAAGGAATTGTATACAGTATTCTACTTGCAAACAGATTGAGAGATGTGTTCTGACTCTTCATGCAAACACATTATAAATGGGGCAGGGTCAGAAACACAGAAGTCAAAAATTGAAAAGAAAGAACAGGATAATGTGTAAGGAATGAGGCAGCCAAGCTGATATCCAGCCAAGAATCCAGTCCTTCCCTATTCCTGGCAACTCTCTTAGATCAATTTAGGATTTATAAGTTGGCCTGTGATAATCTCATGCAGCCCTTGATGATGTTGATTTGTTGACTTTGAAATTAGAGAAGAAGAAATAACAAGGCTTTTGTGATTGACTACTTGCACAGAATAACCTTTACTAATTTGCTTGTTGGCCTTCAGTAGCAACAGAGCCCTTTAGAGAGTGACATTCATCATGATTTATTTGAATGAAAAAATAAATAAAAAGAACAACATAGCTAGATCTGAGAAGAGATCTCAGAATTCAGAAAGTGTCTCCAATTTCAGGAAGGAGTGTCTTGGGAAAATTACTGCTATTGCATCCCTTGTCTTTTTTTTTTTTTTTTTTTCCTTTGGAGATGAAGTTTCATTCTTGTTGCCCAGGCTGGAATGCAATGGTGCGATCTCGGCTCACCGCAACCTCTACCTCCTCGGTTCAAGAGAGTCTCCTGCTTCAACCTCCAGAGTAGCTGGGATTATAGGCATGTGCCACCATGCCCAGCTAATTTTGTTTTTTTAGTAGAGACAGGGTTTCTTCATGTTGGTCAGGCTGGTTTCGAACTCCTGACCTCAGGTAATCCACCTGCCTCGGCCTCCCAAAGTGCTGGGATTACAGGCATGAGCCACCATACCCAGTCCCTTGTGTCTTTTTATCTGCCAGATTGTTAAGAGGAATAATAGAGTCCGAAGTGTATATCAAATTTGCCTTGTAAGCACATTGAAGATTACTTACTATTTTGCAGATTGTGTTCTGTGTTCATGCTCCCTGGGGTGGTGTTGCAGGACTGCTTCTGCTTCATCCAGAGCACTTGAGCTGTTCTCTGCTTACATATTTATATATTAGGATTTCATATATTATTGGTTGGATACAGTTCTGTTTTTTTAAAAAAATTTGAAAATCTTTGGTTTAGCTCAAATGCCAAGACTTTATAGAGAATGTATCAGAAGATCAAAAAAGGTAATTTATATACCCACAGTCATGGAACTATTTAGAGGTTGACAGAGATTAGAAACCATCCAGGTTTCAACCGGCCATGTCTGAACTTCCTATCCAGGACATTTTTGCTACAAAATGTTGATTTGATTTTCCATTTTGAAAGACACAGAAGTGATCTGTGAAATGCTGATTAGCACTAGGTGGCCCCAGGCAGCCTTGGAATGCTCCATGGTTCAAATGCCCAAGACCAGATGGAAGTCCAGAAGTGGATGACTCAAAGTTTATTAGTTTTGCCACCTGGGCTGTACAGCCAAACCAGCTGCCACAAGGCAGCTCCAATTTTGACAGAGCAGTAAATGAACATTAAAGTGAGTTTAAGTTCCAAAAATAAAGTAAAGGAGAATGGCTGCGGCAGCAAGGAGATTTATCCAGGCTAAGTCCTATTGATATTTCTTGTAGGAAGCACAGCTGCTGTGCTAGGTAGGGGGCAAGAAAAGGCCTGAAAAATCATGCCTTGAGTTGTTCCAGGAGCCAGTTGCAATTTGGGCTATGTTTTAATGACTGGCTTGGTGGGTTTTCCAGTCACATCTGATGATCTAGAAAGGGAAAAGCAAGCTAGTACTATGTCATGGTTATGTAATGTGGCCAGGACCACTTTTTATTCTTTTATGGAATTCACGGAAAATCATTTGATTACTTCCTTTCCATAGTTCTGCAGTGGTGGAACCATAAGTATTCATTGGAACATAAGATATTTGTGGCAGATCACCAGGAAGCAATTAATTAACCTCATATTATTGTCATATTAAGTTGAGCTATTGTAGATTTGTCAAGATCTGCCCATGAAATACTGCAATAGTCAGAAACTTACTCTAAGGTTTTAGATGACTCCTTTAACAGATCTGCAGTTCTCAAAAACTGAATTGAGTATGACAATGAGAGTATGGGGCTAGGAGCAAATTGGGAGAGGTACAGTAATGTTTCTTTAAATGAGGATGATCTACTAATTAATTTTAAAAAGTCAAATAATCTTGATCTTTTGTGTCAGAATGCTTTGGGCCACAAGTAACAGAAGACCTGGCTGAACTGACTTAAATAAATGGAGGGTTATTATTACTACTTTTTTATGTCATCGGAAATTTAGAGAAATGTGGCTCCTGGCTTTGGTACATCTGTCTACTCAGTGATGACACAGGCTCTTTTGGTATCATCTTGGTGCAAAATAAAAGGAGATACATGCAGAGGGGAAAAAATGTATGAGTTGCCGATGTATATTGCTGTGGGTTTGATGATAAAGGCTGGCCCATGGTTCCATCTGCTTGGTCAACCTCTGCTTCCAGATAATCTTTTTAAGGGTTGAACGTTTATATGTTTATATTTCTCAATTGACTATTACTTAGTCTCATGTAATAATGTAACACCATTCTTCATTTGTGTGATAAAAGTACAAGTGCCTGTATATTTTCTAACTTGATGGACAGTTTTTTTTTCTGCTACAATGACATGAAGTGAAATCACTTTCATAATATAACATTTTGTTTATGAGTATAGATAAACTAGCTGTTCTATTTTATTTATTTACTTTTTTTCCTGGTAGGTGGCGTGTTTGTCCCACATAGCTGCAAATTATCTTATTGGTCAAAAGGAAGCAAAACGTTGGGGTACAGCTCATGGAAGTATTGTTCCTTACCAGGTAAGGCTACGGCAGTCTAAAGTTGGGCTGTTGTAATTTGCCGTTTTATATGATGTGTTTTTGGAAAATGATTCCTTTATATGCAAAAAATCCTTTAGCTTTTTTGGTAATGTATCTGTGTCTGCCTATAACAAGGTTTTGTTGTTCACCTTAAGTTCTGTTTTGCCTGTTTCTTCATCAGAAAGAGATCAGTAACAGGACCCTTAAATGGATCAAAGGAACTCGCTGAATGCAAGTGACTTTTGGGCTCATATGATGGTTTTCTTTTTTTTTTTCCACCCAAAAGAGGCACTGACTGTAGCCATTTTACAAAGCATGATTTGTTAACCATGTCAGTTATAAAACAAATGTTACCTACCCCATCTGACAATAATATTCTCACAGGATTGAGGAAAATGAAAATTTGCGTGTGATGGTTCTTCATTTTTGGAACAAAGCAGATGGCTCAGGAGCTGCTGTTCTTTATTAAGTGTCTAAACTTGTCCTTAGAAATTCTTGACTTTGGCTAGTGTAAATGGATATGTGAAGTAACTGTGATCTTTCAAAAATAAAATTTAAAACAAAACCTAGCTCTTCTTCCAATCCCTAACCTTTGCTTGGTCTAGTTATACCGTGTGTTGTTGTATTTATTAATGTATCTGCCATATCTTCTGTACTCTATTGTAAGCGCTTAAGAGTAGAGGTCACTTTTTTATCATTGTATGTTTTCTCACAATCAATGAAAGCACATGTTAGGTACTGTAGACATATCTGTGGAATGAATGAGTGAATTTTACTGGAGTAATTTCAATACTAGTGCTCTTGGGAGAAAACAAAAAAGTCAGCATTTTTCATTTACCAGGAAATTCATCAACCCTGCTAATCATCCTTTTAGCTTTAAGACATTATTTCCTTAGGCAAAACTAGTTTCTTTTCCATTTTTAAAAATCAGATTTTGAGGAAAGCACTGACCCAATATGAACCTAGGATTCTTCCCTTTCTGTTTATATTTGTGGCCCCTTACCGGAGGCATTACTATGATTACACTGTAGAACTGCTTTTCAACACATTGAGTTAATCTTTAGATATAATTACAATTGTGGAGGTATTTTCTCCAGTTCTTCTCCTTTGCCTCTACCATTGGTTTTATGACCACCATTAGTGACATTTTGCTTCCCCACTTCCTAGCTCTTTGTGACTGACCCTATACTTCTAACCTGACCTGCTTCATTTCACAGAAGTCATTACATTTTTGAATTGGCTAGAGATCATCAGATTTCATCTTCTTGTTTTTCAGATAAGAAATCTCATACCTAGATTGGGCAGATGGATTCCAACTATGGTCCCTTGCCTCCTCGTTGAATATTCTTTCAGATCCTGCTACCTTTGACAATAAAATGTGATTTCAATTCCCTTCATCAACTCTACCCCTACCAAGGGTCTCCATCAAACTTGCTCCTAGGTCAAGGGTCTGAGCAACTACATTTATACTCGTCAGTGATAATAGAGGTCTTTCTCAAGGGTATTTAAACAGATGTTGGAATCTATGTGAAGTCATCTCAAATAATGGAAGTCTGGCCTTCAGTCTTTTATTTATTTATTTTGAGACGAAGTCTTGCTCTGTCTCTTAGGTGGGAGTGCAGTGGCACAATCTCAGCTCACTGCAACCTCTGCCTCCCAGGTTCAAGCGATTCTTCTGCCTCAGCCTCCTGAATAGCTGGAACTACAGGCGTGTGCCAATGTGCCTGGCTACTTTTTGTATTTTTAGTAGATATGGGGTTTTACCATGTTGGCCAGGCTGGCCTCCAAATCCTGATCTCAAGTGATCCACCCACCTCAGCCTCCCAAATTGCTGGAGAGTGCCACCATGCCTGGTCTAGCCTTCAGCTTTTGATGTACATGGGGAAAGCATTTCTTAGTTGGAAGCTTCTCTAGTGTAATTCCAAATCCCATCACTAGATAGGTGTTCATTACATTCAAACATTAAGTTTATGGTTTATTTTTTGCTCATTTTGAAAATGGAATGTCATTTTAAAAAAACTTTATATAGACTTCAGCTATCCCTTCTGGGCATGTGCACCTAGACTAGAGTTCTGGCATCTTGGGTATGCCCTCAATTATTTCACTATGTGGTAAAAAAAAAAAAAAGAAATCAGAACCTTGGCTTTTATTTTGGAAAGTAAAAGGCACAGGACTCTCTTTCTCTCTCTCCTTACCTCCCTCTGTGTGTGTGTGTGTGTGTGTGTGTGTGTGTGTGTGTGTGTGTGTGTTTGTGGTGTGTGGTGTGTGTGTATGTATCTGTGTCTGTGTCTGTTCTTCAATGATAGAATTGTGCTTTTACTGGTTGAATTGTGCCATTCACATAAAATGGATACTATGCTTATTTGATTTTAGTTGATTGCAGCGTTGTTATCTGTAAGAAATAGGAAATCTACCAGGGTATTTCCTCAGGAGCTCAGAATTAATTTGTTTCCTCTTTTAAAGAACTAGTTCAGCACTGTGATTAAGGAATAAATGCAAATTTAGCTGAAATGAAACTAGCATACCAAGATGGGCCCTAGATATGCTTAGAGACCCTAGCCTGTTTTCAATTTTAAGAATAGATTGGGGGAATATTTTTGTGGGTGAATGCCAAGATAATTATAATTCAGTTTTCTGTAATAATTACAGCTTTGCGTCTAAGTTAAGTTGTCTGAGTTTTGGGCTGACTGTCTATAATGGAAGACTCTGATGGTCACAGAAGTTACTTAAGATGCCCAGCTCACTCTCCCCAATTCTTACTGAACCCTCTCTGAAAGACTATATACCTCGAATGCATGGAATGTAAATTTCAGAAAAGTAGTGATCCTTGTTTCGTGTGTTATTTTATAAGAATGCAGTTCTTCTCAGATTGATTACTCATGCCCTTTTCTTTCCTATTCTTTGGCTGCCAGCTTTTTAAGATTAAGTAAGTTATATAAAGGTAGACAAAGCTGAGATAATCATTTTGCTACTTGTTGAACATATTGGTGGATGCTTTACTGAGAATTCAGATTTATATTTATTTATTTATATATTTAAGAGACTGATTCTCACTCACTTTGTGGTCCAGGCTGGAGTGTAGTGGTGTGATCATAGCTTATTGCAACCTCGACCTGCTGAGCTCAGGTGTTCCCATTAGCTGGGTTCCTGAGTAGCTGAGACTGCAGATGTGAGCCACAGTGTCTGGCAGGTTTCAGACTTTTATGAAAAGTTTTAGATTTCACAGCTTCTTTTGTTTCCATTTCTAGTGGACCCTGCCACAGAGAAGCATTTAGCCCAAGGGATTAATGGTACATAATATTTCTGTTAACACACACACACACACACATACACACACACACACACGTATTATTATTTTTTTTTTGAGATAGAGTCTCACTCTGTTGCCGATGCTGGTGTGCAGTGGTGTGATCTTGGCTCATTGCAACCTCTGCCTCCCAGGATCAAGCGATTCTTCTGCCTCAGCCTCCTGAGTAGCTGGAATTAGACGCATAAGCCCCCATGCCTGGCTAATTTTTGTTTTTTAGTGGAGATGGGATTTCACCATACTGGTCAGGCTCGTCTCAAACACCTGACCTCAAGTGATCCACCCGCCTTGGCCTCCCAAAGTGCTGGTATTACAGGTGTGAGCCACTGCATTCAGCCCCTATTAATATTTTTAATGCATAGTTATGTTTCCGAGTCCTTTAAACAATTGTGCTTAAAGACAGGAAGCTTTTAGAGATGGGAGAGGAGGGTGCAGAGAAAGCAGATAGCTGGATTTCAAAAATAATATATTTTATTATGTAGCATAGTTGTCTGTGGGGCCACTGCCCTTTAGATACATGCCTAGCAAGATAATTCTCTTAATTTCCTAGCCTGCATATATCTAAAACTCTTGTCCAAATTTTTTAACCTTCTAGGAACCTTCATTTGCATGTCCTCCTTTGCTTGTGAGCTACACTGACCTCTACCTGTCTCCAATATCATAGAAGATCCATTCACACATATACTCATGAGGACAGGAGACGATACTGAATATAGTGGAAAAAATGGAGTTTTTATTTACTTATTTTTAAATTATATTTTAGAGCATACAAGTGCAGGTTTGTTACATGGAAATATTAGGTAGTGGCAAAGCCTGGGCTTTTAGTGCAGTCATCACCCAAATAGTGCACATCATACCCAATAGATACTTTCTCATCCCTCACTCCCCTCCCACCTCCCACATTTTTGAGTCTCCAGTGTCTGTTATTCCACTCTCTGTGTCCATGTGTACATGTTATTTAGCTCCCACTTGTAAGTGATAACATGCAGTATTTGACTTGCTGTTTCTCTTTCTTTTCTTTTTTTCTTTCTTTCCTTCCTTTCTTTCTTCCTTCCTTCCTTCCTTTCTTTCTTTCTTTCTTTCTTTCTTTCTTTCTTTCTTTCTTTCTTTCTTTCTTTCTTTCTTTCTTTCTTTTCTTTCTTTCTTTCTTTCTTTTTTTCTTTCTTTCTCTCTCTCTTTCTTTCTTTCTTTTTCTCTCTCTCTCTCCTTTCTTTCTCTCTTTCTTTCTTCCTCTCTTTTCTTTCTTTCCTTCTCTTTTTTGAGGTGGAGTCTTGCTCTGTTGCCCAGTTTGGAGTGCAGTGGTGAGATCTCAGCTCACAGCAACCTTCACCTTCTTGGTTCAAGTGATTCTCCCACCTCGGCCTCCTGTGTAGCTGGGATTACAGGCGAACACCATCACACACAGCTAATTTTTTGTACTTTTAGTAGAGATGGGGTTTCAGGGTTTCACCATGTTGGCCAGGCTAGTCTTTGACTCCTGACCTGAAGTGATCTGCCCACCTCAGCCTCCCAAAGTGCTGCGAATTTATGGGCCTGGGCCACTGTACCTGGCCATTTTTTTTTTTTTTTCTGATAGAATCTTGCTCTGTTGCCCAGGCTGGAGTGCGGTGGTGCTATCTCAGCTCACTGCAACCCCTGCGTCCTGAGTTCAAGTGATTTGTCCTGCCTCAGCCTCTCCAGTAGCTGGGATTAC